CTTCTTCTCAGCACCCCACGGGACAACCATCTTGCCCTCTTCTCTCCGCTTCTTTCCTTGCTCTTCTCTGTCCTTCGTGCCCTTCGCGACCAGCTACACCAACGATATCGGCGACCCTATACCGGGGGGTACCCCGCAGTGACGAACCACCCCGAGCTCTACCCTGGGTGCGGAAGTACCTGTTCGTCGTGATCGTGATTTTGGCCGGGACACCAAGGAAACTCACCCTACGATGGAGGGCGGGGATAGCCCGCGCCAAGGTCCGAGCAGCACTGGTGTGGAGCTGCTAAAGAAGCTCAAAACATGTACTAAGGACCAAGACCGTGACCGGGACCCTGGTCGTGACCGAGACCGCAGACGCAGAAGACGCACTGAACAAGCCGACACCAAGGACCAGGACCCAGACCGCGACCGTGACCGTGACCCCAGACGACAGCGACGCACGGAGGGCACTCCGAATACAGGGAATCCGACCCTACCTGGCACTGACACATATGCTGAGGACGATCCCATGTTGGAGCCCCTCATGGACACGGGGGGAATGACCCTAGCAGAGCTGCGCCGTCCTCGCCCGTGGGAACCCCTTCAAAGCGGACCCCAAGCCAGCGCAACTGCTTGCATCAGTTACTCCGAGAACGAGATGCTGAGGGGAAGCCCCTGTACGACTTGGGGAGCTTTCCCACAGACGAGGCCAAGTGGAAAGCACATGGGGCCGTCTGCAAAGCCGACTATCGTGCTTACCGCCGAAAACAACGGCGTAAACACGAATGGCAACCCGATGAAGGACGGACGAGCAAAGAAGCGCAGAAAGTGAGCCGACTTGCACTTTTTCCTACTGGGGAAAACCCCATGACAACCATGGGGGGAAATCCCCGACTTTTGCACCTCGACAAGAAACAGTTGCAAGGCTTCGGTGTGCTGGCATGTATGTTTAGCCCATTTCTATCCGTACAGCATTTCTCTCCATCCGAAGTTGTTACCGCTGTAGGGGACACCCCCTAAATTCCCAACTCCTTTAACATTTTCCTGACGGGCCGCCGGAGCCATGCCATCTCTACATTGTCGTGCTCCCGCTCTCGGGCTATACTTGTACCATACCTCCTACGTAATTTGGCTTCCAGCACTCCTTTATCCGTGGGGAACCTACCTGCTTTTGCCCCTAATTGTTTGTGTTGCCTTTGTGTATAGGGGGGGGGACCCCACAAGCTTCAACGCCACAGTCCCCATGCATTCCGTTCAGGTTCACTTGACTTGTGTCTTCGACATTTCGACGGGATTATTGTTGGTGTTTCTTTGGAGCTCTTGTCCTTGAATGGATTGCTTTAAGTTCAGCCTTTCGGCACTGGGTGGAGGAACCTAGTCGAGCAAACTAGCCTTTCAGGAGCAGCCCTTTCTTTCAGGCCCCTCCAAAACGGTCGGGGGCGCGACAGCGCGCGGGCATGAGGGGCAACCCTTGTGCCCCTAACCCTGGCGAAAGAAAGAGAGAGAGTGTGTGTGTGTGTGTGCGTGTGATTTGCTCCCGATTGCCGGCCTCATCTCTTCCAGCGTTGGGTCAGACCGAAAGATCAATGCGCGTGCGCGCGCGCGCGCGCGGGGGGGGGGCGGGGGTGGGTTGCAGCCTTCCTTTGACTATGCTGAAGAAGAGTGTTTTGCCACAGAGTCGTGCCACCCTGAACATGGGGGGACACAACACATTCAGTGGATTTCAATTGATGTTGCAGTTTGTACGGCCTGCGTGTTGTTTAGACCGGCCCTGCCATGCTCTAGTTCCGTGGTCAGCCAGCATGTTGATGCAGTTCCGGAGTCCTTTGTGTGTTGAATGCTTTCAAGAATGAACAGGATCTCTATCTGCCCGCATCAACCGTTGCCCTTTTTTGTTTGCGGCAGCAGCAGCCCACTTACTTGAGGAGGGCAGAAGTCGTAATGACTGACTTGTTGTTTGATTTTGCAACCGCACGCCAAAGGCTGCTTAATGAACATAGCTGCATCTTATGTTGTCTTGTTTTGTCTTGTTTCTCGTCTGCGCTGATGGCAGAAAGCTGCGAAGACTCCCGTAGGCCGTGAACTCTGCCCCCAACCCAAATCTTGAATCCTAAATGCCAAACCAGTTGGTTGGGCTGAGGACGCACGTGTCATTGAAGAGAACGTCCCTCGCATGGGCCGCGAACTTTCAATGCCACTTGCAAGTGCTGAGTGTTCAGAATCTGGTTTGCGCCTGTATCATCCGACATGCAGCTCGGAAGGCTTCGACTTCGATCGATGACTTGATCCAGCGTTCCGGCGCGCAGAAAATCGGGTCCGGCATGCTGTGTGTCGACTTCTTTACTGGTGGGAGAGAGGCGCAAATCCTGTCCAAGCGCAGTCATGCTGGTTCGCTGGCAATGCATCTCAAGGCGCTCAGGAGGAGTACCGTCTGAGAAGTGCAGTACGCTGCCTCGAAAAGGCATTCTCCAGATCTGTAGAAAAGCAAGCACGTTAGACAGTCCGACTTCTTCGTTTTGCTGCTGCAAGCGTCGCATGCGAACGACAAAGTCCAATCGTCGAAAAGCCTTGGAGGCACTTGCAACGTTGGTTCACAGTTGCCTGTTGGGTAAATCCTGCTCTGATGTCACTCTGGTTTCGCCTGTGCTGCAGCCAGCAGACAATGGAAGGCTTCTCGGTCAAAGACACCGACTGCGCAGAAGCATGCCGGTCAGCAAGCCAACAATAGCTTGAGCCAGGTCACCAGCTGAGACATGAGACTTTAGTTGAGCCATCTGCAAGATGAGTGTCAAACGGGCGCCGAGGTGAGCACTAAGGACCTGGAGGCGATTGTCTTCGGCGGGCTGCAGGAAGGCAAGGCGGCAAAGCATGGTGCCTATCTGGCAGCGTTGGGGTCGTGCATTGTTCTGCCCTGCCAGTCCTGGCAGGTGAAGAGGAAGCGAATGAAGAGCTTGGCCAACCTGACCAGGAGGACAAGACAGAAAAGCAGTGTTTGAATTGTATCCTTGCGTTTCCGACGTGTCCGCACCTGGACATGATGTGCAAGGATGTGCAAGTAATGGTTATACAACCTTGCGCATGATGGCCGTTTCAAGGTTCCTTTCACAAGCTTCTATGCGCCTCATCGCTTTCTTGCGTCTCCTTGTCGACTCCTTGTCGGAAACAGTTGAGAACGCCAAACGCAGGGAGATGCACGCGAACAAGACCATCGGATTAATGAAGCGCTAATCTCAACAACTTCGCCCTCTTTCATCAACGCACGGGTTGGTTCCGGGGCAAAGACGGGAAGCACCAAGAGGTTCCGTAGAATGCTTCAGCATCGGAAACATTGATAAACGACGGTGTGGTGCATCTGTATGTGGGGATGTCGATGAAGAATGTAACAAGGAATCCATCCGGTTCGAATCTCCTACTGACCTGTCTGACCATGGCACCACCCCGCAGATCTAAGTTGTTTTGCAGAGGAAGCACTTCCATCGGCGGCCCGAACCACAGTCTGTTGTGCTCAAACTCTTCGTTTGCGTCAGATGCAGCCTCCTGAGGCGTGGTCGGATCCAGATGACGCGGCGTTGCAAGTCCCCCTGGCCCGACGCCGCAGTCTCTCCGTTCTGCTTGAGCACGCCTGGCAAAGCCTTCCCTTCCTTTTTGCATGTTTTGTCATCTTCTGCTTCAGAGCTGAACACTTTGGTGGCATGCCTCCGTGCATTTCCGTGCGTTTGTGCTCCTTGCAATCCTACACGAAGCGAGCTTGTGCAGTAATGGGCCTTCGCAAATTGCAGGACGTGTAGATCTGCGTTGCATTGAGGTTGGTGACCGACACAGGAAAAGGTTTCGGCAAGCCGATTCAGAGGTGACGGGACAGGAGACCGCGCCTCAGGACCGGTTCTGAACACATGTGCGCAGCATGTGCATATCGTGTCTGCCTTGGACGGTTTCGACAGCACAGGTACGAACGACTTCTACGCCAAAGGTTCTTGAAGCTGAACGGATCTGCGTCATCCGGCGAATTCCGGCGAGCGCTTTCTGCCATGTCAAATATTCGCTCATGGGTGCGTTGTTCGCCAAGGCACTGGGCGGCGTGCGACCCTTCAGAGGCTGGGTCTGCATGTGAGTTGCGCAGGCAGAGTGATACCCTTTGAAGGCCCAAGCTTCGGACTCGGAGGAGGACGTTGGAGAAGTCGCAAGCACGCGAAACCCTGTGGTAGCATCTACAGGCAGGTTACATTCCAACCGAATAATTTGTCAGTGAATGGGATGCCAGGTTTACAAGCTCGGACGCCCCACTCCGATCTGCATGCAAATCACTGCTTGGCTTGGGTCGTGTCTTCTCAATGGTCTCAGTAAGGCTGGACATCAAGCGCTTGCGTGAGCTGCCGCTCTTGGCACGGATGCCAAGACGCTTGAAACAAAAAATCTCCAGCAAGCAGCGACCTCTGGACATCTCCGACAGACATTGTTTCAGGCTGCAGGCCAGAAGAAAGCCCCGAGTGCGGTGGAGGCTGGCAGACCCTTAAGCTCATCCCTTAGAAGGCCGAAAGCCGCTGCAGTGTGAAGGCTCTTCAGTTTCATCCAACGTCTGAGCTGCTGTTGACTGCGGGCCGCGACAAGACGTGACTACCTCAACATTACTGAACTGCAGATCGTTCTCTGCCTGCCGGTGTGGTGACGGTAGCTGATGTTTGACAGTCCATACCCCCAGTTTAACAATAGATCTTGCTGTGGGGTTACACTATATGATCCCCATTCTCGCTGATAGTGGGGGGAGTCTTGGAAATGGATCTGGGAAGGAGTGTTCCGATGCGTCGTTTGTCAAGGTGCTGATGCATGTATGTACGTATGTACGTATGTGTGTATTTTAACTGCCTTTGTGAAAATAACACGTCCTCACCTTC